GACTAAGCTGTGCACAAGTTCTCTGGACGCCTTGCGGGTTTCCCAAGCATATGCCAAGAGGGAGCTGTTGTTGCTTATGTTTAATGCTCCTCTCTGCTGCTCTCGCGACCGAATTATTTGCTTTTGATAAACGAAGCGCTGGCCGTGCTTCAACAGGCCCTACATGGTGGCTCGTCGTTACTCCCAAACACCCTTATGGCCCCCGACTGGGACTCCTAGCTGCGGCTGCCTGCGTGGCTGACTAGAGGAGAAACAAACAAGTAATGAGCAGAAAACTAGAGTTTGAGCATTACAAAGTCCTCTGTTCGTCTGGGGAATAGTGTTCTCAAATCCTTTGGAGTGCCAGCAAGCGGAGGCAAAAACAGCCTGGGATCCGAAAGACCATGTGGGGACTCTCCTGCACGCGTCCATTTTTAGCATAGAGACAAGAAATATGCGCAAATGACTACTCGAGTCTATTTCACCTTCTTTAAAGACTAAGTTCTGCCAGCATATGCCGTGACTGCCTCTAGGCACCAAGGAAAAGCTGAGCACGGGGATCTCGAGTTGAAAACTTTGTCGAGAGCCCGTCCCCAAGTTTCGATTAGCGTTCTATTACTGGCTGTACATAAAAGGTTCTTACTTAGAAAACAGTAGCTGAAGGCTGAGGGCTAGTCGGGCAGCCGAGGCTCACGGAACTGGGGGCGCTTCCCAGTGTCTACGGGGCTTGGCCGGTCACTAGAGCGAAACCCGCGAAGCGGAGAAAATTCTGTGGTTATAAATGTTTCATCTCCCCAGATTTCACGCCACTGGTGGCTGGTGGCGCTGCAAAGCGTTCACTATTACCCGTTATTCTGTGAAGACTGAGTCCCACAGGTCGTTGACTCTGATCTTATCCCTATGTGTTCCTCGAGAATGTTTCCACTGTAAGCCTCAACTCTGTGTGCAACGTCACTTGCTTGGCTGGGTATTTTGACCCGGAATAGTTCTCGAAGAGGAGTTCAAAGACAAGCGCCGGTCTCGCCTTTCCCTAAGTGGATTGGCTGCAGCGTTGGCTGCCACAATCTATCTCATCGGGGAACGTATCATTTTCGTTATCTGTGCAGGAGCGTTGGCAGGATCCGGTGATGACAGTTTCGATGCAACAATTCTTTCATCCTATGGATGACACACTGGTGCGAAGAAATTTGACAATTTTTAGTTCGCATCGCATACTCACTCGGCATTTTTCGAGCAAAATGCATCCTCTTCAGTGGCTTTGGCCAACTGACGTTCACTTTATCTGAGTAACTGAGCAGGAAGCAGCCTTTAGTTCGTCTAATATAAAAGTCTGCAGGGCTGATTGATCGAAGCATTTATAAACCTCACAAAGCTGTCTCCGTGATCAACGAGGCTGCCTATACAGTCTATTCTACCTCTTCCTACAATGCAAACGCTGCAACAAATTTCTGTGAAGACCCTAAAGCCGCCTCCCTAGTTAAACCCTTAGCGTGTATCTCTTGGACCTTTCTATTATCCAAATACCAACTGCACGAGGTATTTAGATCCACCACATCTTAAGAGCCATTTCTGGAATTATAAGGTTACGACACCTGGTCTGCTCTGCGCATCTGCTTCCAGGCCAGTGGCCTTAGCAGAAGCTTATCTGAATTGAACTGGCCGGTCTTGAGCAAGTATGGCATTTTATACATTTTGTATATTATGCAGTGGCTTCCAGCGGGACTGATCGTGGTCGACATTCGAAACCTTGCCAATTTTGACCCACAAGGTTCCGTTTTGCGCCCTGTTGTATCTTTTATAGGACATTCTTACTCCATACGCAATGCATACCCTATGCAGCTGGCTACTTTTAGGAAGCCCATTCAAACTGGCTATGATTAGGTTGTGCAGCGTAGGAACAACTCCTAGGTATTAACTTGTTTGGTGCTGCTCGCCTGCGGACTTCACGCTAGCGCTAAATAATCCTTTCGCCAAGTGTGAGCTGCAAAGCACAATGCACAACGTACTCGTTTAGGTTTTCTGAAAAAAGTGGCTTTATGGGAACAGTTTAGGGGATGGTACTGCCGCGCAACTCAGCGTAATCTGTTTGGCATGCAGCATCACGTGGGCATCTCCAGCGTATTGGAGCGTCCTATCTCGGGGCGCATATCTCGCCACGCCACCTGGTGTTCTGCATCCCCCTTGTGTGCATCTAAAGCTGCATCAGAATCTGTGAGTTAAGCATGTCTTAAAGGCTTCACGAGTCGGAAAGAGCTGCTTTTCGCAGGTGACGCCAGGTATGTTCACCAAAGTAGCCCAGACGTGATGGCGCCGGCACCCCGTACTAGTTGCTGCTGCGGGAAAGGCAAGAAAAGCTCTTAGTTGCCAGGTGCGAGTGCCCCTTCATGCAGTCTCGCGCTATCCTCGGTCTACTGTTATCGATTTGGGTAGTGCCTTGCCGCATTGTCCGTTGTTCTCTCTTAGGAAGTAGCCTGAGCTTTTCTGCCATGGTCGTTGGCTCGACCCCAGGTATAGCTCATGAGGTCCAGCAAAGTAAATGCGCCAAAGTTCGTTGTTTCTCTGAGAGGTGTGTGGGTGCCTCGTCAAGGAATACCAGTAGCCGTGTTGTCAGCAAACCGCAGCTTGTAGAGGCCCTATGCAGTGAAATTTGTGAGACTGTAGTCATCTTGAAAACCTAGAGTGTTTCAAATTGACTACAGCTGAGCACTGTGTTGGAATATTTTATGTACGCGTTCATAATTAAAGTTTTTCCTTTCCACTGTGGCTGTAGGCCACAGTGCTGTCCGCATTGCTCAGTGCACTTCCTATTTATTCCTACCGTATACAAGTGGGGCTACTTTAAAGCCATAGAGGTGTGTAGATGAGATACGCTGAGAGATTGTATGCTGTGGCTATTTGGCATTTGTGAGGCCGAAGAAACTCCTGAAAGGCGCGGCTTCTGCTAGAGGCTTAATCAGCGAAATGTTTGGGACCCAACCCTACACAAGCTGGCGTAGTAGAGCCTCCACAAACTGGCCCTGCAAAACAAGACACTGTACCTTCTGCGCCAGTTACCTAGGGGCCGCCATAAGTGCAAGAAGCAAGCCAAAAGCAATTGAAGTATTTGCATTGCCTCTAAAATACGTTTAGGACCGAGTGTGCAGCTCCCGCTCCTATTGTAGGTGAGTGAATATGGCACTGGGAAGGTGCAAAGGATGTTCTTAAGATAATGGAGTCCCGCTGGAAACACTAAGGTTCCCAGCCCTCGTGCTTCTGGAAGCGCAACTGCGCCCTCTCTCTTCTGCAAATGCGAACAACTTTTAGGGGAAAGCAGATCAGTACGGCCTTTACACGGGAGCCTTCTATCAGCTGTGGGAAATGCATCAAAGGCATGGAACTGAGAGCGGTCACCCCTGAGAGTGGCAAGCGTAAAGATGAGAGCAATTCTACCTTGGGAAACCAAAGAAATGCTTACTGCGTTCTTCGGCTTCGTCAAGGACTACAGGCACTAATGTGACTATAGCAAGTTCTACAGGACCAGCACTCCATGAGGTTCTTTGAGGGTTAAAGGGTAGGCACCTTCTAGAGTTATGCCGGTGTTGGAAACTGAAACTGGTTTAGATTAGTGGGATTCTAGGTCAGGAAACTGAAACTGGTTTAGATTAGTGGGGTGTTAGATGGGCGCAGCTGGTCTAAAATAGCTCGGGATGGCTAGATAAACAGTACGCGAGTGCTTTCGTCTATGAGATTATAATGGTTGAATATGTGCTCATTAATATCCTTCTTGGCCGATGCTAGCAAGGCAGTCCCTTTCCTACATTGGGGGTATGGGACAGCGTCCCAAGGGCGAAGTGCGAAAGACTGCACGCATCTGCTTCCACCGCTACCCGAATGGCCATACTTCTGGATTTATAGAAGATAGTTGCTTCACTAATGCACAAACGGTGGCGTCAGTGTACCTTCAATGCGTGTCGACGGTAAACGCGTCTGATGCCAGTGCTTGAGTGCTTGGGGGAACGGCGATACCCCCGGTTCCCTTGTCGGTGCATTTCACTGAAATTGTCACACTTTGTAGTTTTTTTTACAAGGGTGGACATAACTTTCGTCCTAGCGGCCTGCGCTGTCACTTTATACGCTCCTACCAGTTGTGTTGCATCCCCGCTGAATATTGTGATGTCTGAGGTCTTGCAGGACCTCTACTGATAGCCTTAGAATCACAAATGCAAATTAACTCTCGATTTAGTATTAGGTTTTTCCCCAGTCAGAGGGACGGGAAACCAACCGATCCTAGCGCCAGGGCGACAGGCTATTCAACAGCGCTGAGCAGTGCCGGCAACGTCAATTGCGAAAGACGGGTTAGAATCGAGGCCTTCTTTTCCCAAAAGAAGAATTTAGGAACTAAATTGAGTTTCATTACTGTTTCCAGGGGAGATAATGGCTATTGTAGGTGCAATATATTGCCAAAGCACGTCTTGGGAGTCATCTGCGTGGGATCATGACAAGCGTACGAACCTTCGCCCTGGGGGTCAACGACAGCCGCGATTCTACCGGGGACCGTTTGGGCCCTTTGGTATCGGTTTTTCTTAATTAAAACACAAAATATAAAATTAAAAAGCAATGGACTAGCGAAAATGGTGAAATTTATTTACGTGGTGAAGGCACGCCTCTCTAACGCTGGCTTGTCGCTCCCTCCCAAGCGCCTGGGGGGGAGGGCGTTTGTGTATATACATTGGTATAAACTAGGCTCAATGCGGGTTAAGCTTTCTGCTAAAAATTGAAGAAATACTATTAAGAAGCAGAAAATTTAAGACATACTACAAAACGTGAGCGACCGTACAGCCTGTGAGGTCTGGTGCTGCCGCTTGTAGGGGTGGCTGATGCACCAGAAGGGCGCGTCGCTCTGCTCCTCCGTCGCGGTTGCTTCCCCCTGCTCTATGTTGGCGGTTCTGGTATTCTGTAGTGGATATCAGTTGAGCATTTGCGTCTTTCTCTGCAGTCATCTGTTCGAATACCTGGTTTCTTTTCCAATTAACAAATCGAAAATGAAGGGCCTGTTCTTCACCGTCGCTTTGGGCGCTGCTGTCGCCGTCAATGCCTCAGATGATGGCAGCAACAACAAGATGAAGCCTGAGGGTGAGTGTAGTGTCGCTTTCTGGTTCTCTCATTTTAGATCTTGTGAATTGTTTCTTTTGTGTCGTGAGGGGCATTCTTCTGTTGGTAGTCGCAGGCGTTGTCCATCATTCCATCTTCTCCCTCCCCGCGTGGGGTCGGGGCACTCGGCGTGGAGCGGCTTTGGCCTCTCCCCCGTGCCGGCCCCCAAGGCGGGTATTTGTTGAATATGTTTCATGTAGTTTTCTGGTTCTTCTTTCCAGCATGTTGCCAGTGAATGGGGTGCGGTAGATGCGCTGTGTCTGCCGCTAACGCTGCAGTTCCCCACTCTACGGGGTGGCCACTTGCTGTGGGCGATTTGACGGGTTCCATGTTGTATGTAGCGTTTGCGGGTGCTTTAAAGTGTGAGTGTCACTCATTGCCGGTCCTCTTTGTTTTTTTCTTTACAGATTTGAGCGCAATCTTCAACGGTGAGGGCCAGGTTGACTGGTCTGCTTTCTCACCTGAGGCTCTGGGCATGCACCTCAACTACGACGAGATGAGCCAGCAGGAGCTCGACGCCGTCGTCGACGCTTTCATCCGCCTGGGTCTCATCTCCCCCGAGGAGCGCGACTCCTTCGCCGCCTCCCTGGTGGACCCCATGATGCGCAGCATGCTCCAGACCGTGAACGAGAACTGGCCCGAGACCATGCAGAAGATCATCAAGGACCCCGACTACCTCAAGTTCCTCAGCCAGTTCCAGAACAGCATTGATGAGGGCGCCCTGGCTACCATCGTTGGTCTGAAGGAGGGACTGAGCGGCGCCATCCGCCAGAAGGAGCAGCAGGAGGAGGGATCTGCTGGCAACGGCGAGCAGTAGATCTGAAAATTCCATGGCACTGTATTGCATTTATGTTCATTTTGCTAACGTCCGTCAACACAGACACTTTTGTCCGGCGTGATGCGCGATTTTGTTGCATGCCTAGATCTGTTTTGGGGGGTGCGATGGCGATATGGTGAAGTGCGTTCCTCCGGTCGAGTTTCAAGTGGTGGTGCATGACACTGTTCACGGGGGACGCAGATGTCGTCAAACGTGTCATTGTTCTTCTGTCCTCCCAACAGCCACCCGCGTGGGTTCTCGTGGGCTGGGGGGGCCGCCAACTGCTGCCCTCCAGACGAGTTGTGCGCGACGGTGGTGGCGGGCTTTTGGCTTCGCCGCTGTTTGAGCGCCAGCTGCAGTGGCACCGCGAGGCGACGAATGTTCGGATACAAACAACGTGGCTTTTCTTGAAGTAGATTCGCCGTCAGCGCTTTGCAGTCAATGCTTGGCACAGGTTTTATCTGCGCATAACTTTTTACTGGACAACCATCGATAAGTCATGTGCTAGCGTGCAGGTAGATGCTTCTGTAGATAGGTAGAGCGACAGCCGTCGTCCGGCAACGCAGTTCGGCCACTGGGTCCTGCCGCTGGTGCCGTGCCAGTTTCAGGATTCTATGGGCCGTCCCTCTGCGTCATTTCTGCGGATGCGTACTTGCAAAGCTGAGGCGAGGTTCCCTGTATGATGTGTTGTACATAGCCCTGTAGAGGCTCATCAAAAACTAGGCCGGGGAAATTTGCGGTTGGAAACGTTATTTTTACAAATGGCTCCAGGCGTCGTACTGAGCAACGGGCTGGGCAAGCCGGAGCACAGTCTGTTCATTCACAAGCATACACTCTGCGAGCTCGCTAAAAGCTGCACTGCATTGCGTGGACCCGGGTCTGGACATCCGAAATACGCATTTATTTGCGTGGCTGTGCGTCGCTGGGAAACGGAAAATCAAAGTTTCAAGCTGCGATCAACTTCTGCAAAGTGCCATTCTTCACTCCCGCTACCTGAAAGAAGCAGGGAACGCAAAGCACTTAGCCGGTCACCGGAAGGCGCGTTTACTCTCAGTGCGCTTCTGCACTTCCAGAATACAAGTCTAGCGGTCCCTACCGAACCCACAAAAAGTTGCTACAACATTCCCTTAAACCGACACGGCACACACTTAATTTCTGTGTCCTTTTGCTTCATTTGCACTGAGCAGTGTCGTGTCTTTCTAGGTCTGTTGCGGTATTCTTAAGATGAACTGACAACCAACTCACCGTGTCATCGCCGCCTCCAAAGAAAGTGCCATTTATAAATACACGAGGCACGGATCTTGCACCTGTCTTCTCCTTCAAATAGTCTTGAATGGCGTTGCAGTGAGGGTTGTTCTCTATTTGCTCCACGTGCTGGGGCAAGAAAAAAGACACGGCACATGTGAAAATTTAAACAGGTAATGCACCGAACACAGGTGGAGAACATACTGAAGGTGTTAACAAAAAAATCAAAGCAACGAAATAACAAAAGACAAAAATTGTCCTAAGGCATGGTACGCGTTTCAAAAAAGGCAACAATGAAAACGACCAGTAAAGACGCAACACCACCAACTGCTGCCCTGGAGACCGAACGAAAACCATACTAATTTAAATATGATACCGGCACAAAGGTTGGACAGTACGTCTACATATACAGAGATCTACAGGTTTCATTTTGAAGCGATAAACTCACCATGTCGCTAACATTCAAGCTCCTCAGGGCCGCAATAGCAGCCTGGCAGTAGGGGCAGTGCCTTCAAACACGAAACGCAACGCAACATAAGCCTCTTCAGGCTTACTGACCAAAACTCAGCTTCTCTCCCTTGGCTACAGAAACCGCGAAAAAGCGAAGCTTCGACTCTGCCGCTGTAGGACATACGTTTTCGCGAAGATAGTGACCTTGTGTCCGTTGACAAGGCTGTCAACCCACTGAGGAACATCCTGGGCGCTGTTTAGTGCCATTGTGGAGGCGAAGAGAGTTCGACAAGAATTGTAGCGCAGTCTGGCTCTCGCCCAAATGCGACCTGCAAAGGCAGCAGGGTAAAGCAGATTTATGAAGGCACCCGGGGGAGGGACCGGAATCAGGGCTACCATTTTGAAAACACAAAGCCAATTACTAAAAAATGCTGAATCTACGCAATCGAGCAGACCACAGGCAATGTCACAGCTCATTTGCTACCGCGCCAGCCCCATCCACTGATGTGCAGGACTAAAGACTGTTGAAGTCGATGGAAAGCAGAGCACTTTTGCAGGTAGCTGGGTACTTACTAGAATTGAATTATTTGTGTACGTTCTGGAGTGATACACACAATTGTTACGGTACTTTTTAATCTCACACGCCCCGTGAAATCGTAGCGTCTCATGCATGCCGGAGTAGCCGACCAGGCACTTGCTGCTGCTTCGCTGGCTGGATGCCGCACAGAAGCAGGCACTACATTGGCATCTATTCTAAGTCCTTTTCGAATCCAGATTTTCAAAAATTCAAAGGCTTAGTTTTAAGCGATGGTTATTTTTGCGTTAGCTGTGGGTATGGGCGCAGTAGGAGGGCTGTGCCGGCAATTTATCAGTGTTATGTAGATCGTTTTCGCATTCAACAATCTACCTGTCTCAGCCACCATACATGGCATGTTCTCGCATTGGACAATCAGTAACTATCTCAGCCACGAAATATGACCTGCATTGTGTAGCTTCTACGATTCATATGCACAGAATATACTAGGCAGATGAGGATAAAGCAGCACGGCAGCGCGTCCTAGCAGAAACACGAGCACAGGGAGTGACAAGTCCTCTAGTCCATGAAAAGTCAGGCGATCTAGCCATATGTGTTTGTTATTGAATTCAGTGGACTTTGGGGAAGTGCATGGGCAAACGGCAGCAACTATGGAGGCAAAGACACGTATTTTACTCTTCCTGCCGTGCCTTCGTCCTGGCTAGCGGTGTCTCTGTGGTACTTCCTATTTCTGCTCCGCTAAAGTTGTTCTCTGCTAAGCTTTTGTTAAGATTCCCTTGTGCTGGGCTCAAAGACATGCGAATAGACGAACAGGTACGAATACGTTCGGTTAAAACAGCAGATGTGAGCGGACGGATTAATTTCATTTTGAGGCCTGGAACTAATGCAAGTGCTGAATGGCCAGCTACAGTATGAAAAAGTGGCTATTACGCGTAGTCGCGTGTAAAACCCTCTGGAATGTGCGCAGTTAGGTGTGAAGCTTTGTTTTATTACTTTTTCAACAGTCAACTTAAACTGCCTACTGTGCTTGGTTTAACGGTTTTGTGTGACGGCGTAGCAGCAGCCGCAGACACACACTATCAGCACTCACTAGCCGACAAATATAAAACCGTAATCCATGCAAATTACTTACTACACAAGACATTTGGGCTTGTCCTCACCCTTCGACCTTACTGGGGCCCCATGCGTCCAGCAAAAGCAATCAGCGCATGGTGGCTGGCGGCACCCGAAGTGCCTTCCAGCAGCTCATTGTAGAGTGGGTCAGGCTCCACAGAATTAGTAGAGTTCCGTACTTCAAGCTTTTTAATTGCACAGGGGTGCCGCAGCCGCCTGTGGTGTAGAATGACGTCCGCCGTCCACGGCTTTGCACCAGGCGCCGAGGCGTACCGTGGCGGCTGATAATGTAGTGGGAATGTGTTGGTGTTGAGTCCCACGAGATGCGACAAAAGCATATCTTTATGGGCGGCGACGCCGGGCTCGTCTTTGTTGCCCAGTCTTGCAGTAGCTGACTTAGCCATAGCTACCAGTTAGTTTACAGAGCTGGTCTGCGCCAGAATTCCATCGGGCGAAGAATCCGTTGTGCACTTTGTGGCTGGACCCGTCGAGTTCTTTCTAAGCCAGGAGTGAAGTTCCCCTAGCTCTTCCGCAGCGGATCCCGCACCTCATTATCTCGAATGCAGATTAACTACCAATGACTGCTTAGCACGTCTGCCAGAACAGATAACACCTACTTTGTGTTTATGTTCAAAGCTTCGCTGGAAGGCTGATTTTGGCTGCAGAAACACTGCTGTAAGCTCCCTCTGCGGGTAAAATATGAATACGTCGCCTTTTTTTTAGTATCGCTTCGAACAGCGAGCAACACCTGTAACTCCACTTACTGGCAGCAATGCATTGGCAGACTAACTAGCTCGCCCCTTCAAACTACTAGCTCATCTTTGCGATAAGCAGTCAACAAAGGTCTAAAAGAATGCGTTGCCTACATTCATAAAACGTTTGCGTGCACGCATTGTTCATTACATTTCTCCCGCTCCCTCCAGTGCTAGTCGCTCTAGCTCTTCTAGAGAGAGTGACACTTCTTTTCTCTTTTTCTTAGGGGGTTGATGAGATCCCTTCTTGCTCATTTTATCTCTGTGAGCCCCTGCATCTTCATCTGAGTCGGTTGTAGTTGTATCTGATGCCGCCACTTCACTGCCGCTATCTCCTGCGTCCAGAACGGTTACAGTTCCTCCTGCCGAGCAAAGAAACAACAAAAAAGACATATCCATGGAAGACAAAAACGAACAAACCTTACTATAAGTGCACATACAAATGGAGGGAGAAGAGAGTCGAGATTTGCCTGGATCTTGGTGAACTTTCTCAATTCAGACTGTGTTGCTTGGTGAACTTTCTCACATACGCTATTCAGAGGCGCGCGTTTGCAATTAAAGACAAAAACAAAAGTGGTTGAGCACAAGTAAGCACATAGAAACGGAAAACAAAGACAAAGCTACAAACAATAGAGGAAAAAGAGCGACAAACAAGCGAAGAGACACACACACGTGAACACGGACACAGCAATAAAGACAAAATGGCCAGAACAAAACAAACGCATGATTGAGCCGCACCCGCTGCTTCTCCCTGCCGGGCCATCCTTTCTTTCTTCCTTTTCTTTGAGTGTCTTTCCTTCACCCTTTGTTGGTCGCGGGCCTGCAAATCCCGTGGCACAACACGCGCTCCTGAGGTCTCAGCGTAGAATGGGCAGCTAATCAAGCCCTTTTCACTGGTTTCAGCAGAGCTATGTTTGTTTCCGGTACTTTCAGCTGACTTTTATCTGACTGTCATATCGCGTGCAAGCAAGCCGCCTGCTGCGGTAACATGCACCCTAAACTGGCCACGCTTGGTTATTTTCACTCAAGTAACAGAATTAAATCAAGCAGATAACGAGAAATATGACAGATGCTAAGCGACTCGGGATTTCTTTCTCATTGAGCACCTTGTCACTTTGGTGCACGGACTCCATCTTGGCCCTCATTCGCTGCAGAAACGTTTCCCGCAGCTCCTGTGTCACGCCACTGTCGCCGCTGCTGTTGCCGGCTTGTGTTTCTGGCTGTTGTGTCGCTTCTTCATCTGTCTCTTCATCTTCATTAAAGATAATGTGCGAATTAGAGGAAGCAGCAGCAAGCCCTTTTATCTTCGCCGAACCATCCGCGCGAAACTGCAGCCGTTCCCTTCGGTACGCTGCAGCAGAGAAACAAATCCAGAAGTACAAGAGACCAGAACACAGTAATGTGCGCGCGCAAAAATGCACCAAAATAACAAGCTGACTAGTGTGTATGCTGAACCCAACAGAAAAAGTAAACAGACAGACTCATGGAGACAAACGCAGACCCTAACAATGCACGACTTCCTGAGGTGCCCACAGCTTCAGCTCGCGTGTAAACAAGGGGAGTTGCACAGAAACACATAGTGTGTCGGAAGAATAACTAATAAGTATCCGATGGTCCGAATGTCCTTAAAACTGAAGCGCGGGATTAATTGGGGGCGAGGACTGCCACGAATTTAACGAAAATCCCGCAGACTAAATGAAAATTTGGCAGGGAGGAGTTGGAAGTTTGTCAAGAACAAGAAGAGCACAACGACAAAAAGTGCCATCCAGACCGTGCTAAAAAAACGCAAGGGGAATGTCAAGTCCAAAGACGTGACAAAACCCTCAAACCGTCAATGCTTAACTGCAACGGCTGAAGTCTGAATTCAACTGCCTGGCATCTATTACCTGGTTTCTGCAGCAACAGTTCTTGCAGCTTTTGGTTTCTTTCTTTCGCTGACTCCTCTGGAGGCTCGCCATTCTGTTCCTTTAGCTCCAAAAAGTCCCCTACATCATCTGCTGATGTGCTATTTTTGCTGCTGACCACTCCTGGTTTCCGAGGCTGCTTGTCTTTCTTTGAGCCTTCTTCTTCAGACCCTTCATGCTGCTCCTCTTTTTGTTCTTGCTGCTCATGCTGCTGCTGTTGTAGTTGCATCTGTTGCTTGAGTAGCTTCTTTGCGCGGATTTGTTCCTGAAAAACATATTATTAGCCGCCCACCCACTGGCTCAAAGCAGCAGCAGTAGGAGTGGCAGCAGCAGCTACTGCAAAGTCGGCGAAAGCAGCAGTGGGAAAGTAGTGGGGAAAGCTGCCGTATCCCTCACCTTTAGCCTTGCCAGTTTCGACATATTTTTTTTCTTATTTTCTCCGTTTGCAACCGCCCCACCATACATCGCAGGGTCCAACTCGCCCTCACCTTGCTGCTGCTGCTGCTGCTGCTGGTCTGTGGCTGCCAAATGCTCTATTGAAGGAGCAATGGAAAGGCCGTAGCAAAGAGCTAGCTGCTGCAGGTCGATAGCGTTTACGTTGAATATCTTTTTGTTTGGCATCACCGACAGACAACGCAAATAAGCAGAAACAGCTTGTTGTGCCAATGCCTTGAGAGACGGACTGCAGCAGCCGCAACAGCACCAGCAACAAGGCCACCGTTGCCACCCACAGCAAAAGTTGCAGCAGCAACACTGTTTGCAGCGGAAGCAGGAAGTCTACCCACATGAAATGGCTGCAGAAACGGGAATCACAAGAGAAATAGAAACAGCAAAAGAAGTGAAAGCAGCAGCACAAAAAATAGCAGCGGCAGTAACAGGAAAACGCAAGCCAGCCGCGCCTTGGACCACTCGCAAAATCGCCCTCCATGGTGCCACTCAAAGGACTCCTCCACTTTAAAAGCTAACAGCCAGCCCTAAGCAGCGTCAGTGGCGAATTCCGAACCCTGGACCCTGCATTGCACGCCATAAACCCTAAAACCGGAATTACGGAGGAACGGACTCGGCAGCAAGGAGTGCTTGGAGTTTGCTTTCAATGCGAATGGCTTTCTTGGGGTTCATGTTTATCCTTTGCAGAACCATCTGCGGGCAGAAAAGGACAGAAAGCAGCAAAGTGCTAATAAAAGCGACAGCGAAGCAGCTGATTCAATACCCACAGTAACTGACAGGCACAGCATTCCCTGCGGTGCAACATGTCGCATCGAAAGCAACCAAACGGCCAAAAATGATACAGCGATAAGCACAGCCACGCAGGTTGCACCAGCCACGTCGGTTGCAGCAGCAGCAGCAGCAAGGGGCACGCTGCGCTGAAAGCCCAGCGATGCAGCAGCAGACGTCGAGGATGTGTAAGGCTTGTGGCTAAAGGCGGCATTAACGGCTACAGGAGAAGCAGCACAGCAGCAGCAGCAACAGCAGGTGGTGCGGCTGCAAATTGGGCTCTGTGCCGACCCCTTTAGCCTGCAGCTCCAGCACAAAGGAGGCTTCCGAAGGCAGTAGCAGCAGCACAGCGTGTCCTTTCCTCGTCAGTCTTGCTGTCCTGCCTATGCGGTGGAGGTGCGTCTCTGTGCTGTCCGGACAGTCGAACTGAATAACAAGATCGACAGCAGAAAGGGCCCCCTCTGCCTCCTCCTGCTTCTTCTTTCGACTGCCTCCCGCGGACCCCAGGAGGCCCCCAGACTGCACAAAGTCTATTCCGCGGGCAGCCAAGTCGGTGCTAATTAAGCAGCAAGGAGAAGTGCGAGACACAAAGTCATGAAACACATCCAGGCGCTTCTGCTGCTTCTGGCGCCCGTGCAAATACAGCAGAGACAAGCCTGCGCAGAGCGCAATAACAAACACTATGTTAAGAATATTTTATATATTGTGCCAAGAATATAATGTATAATAGTAAATTTCAAGCTCTTAAGCCTCACAATTGTCCGAAGCCCGAGGCCTTAGTGGCATCTCAAACAACGGGGAGCTGCAGGAGCGGGGTGCTGTGCTGGCTGAAAAGTCGTGTCAGCACCAGCAGCAGCAGCCACAACAGCAACAGCAGCAACTGCAGCAGCAACGGCAGCAACCGCAGCACGGGGGAAGGCTCACCGGGCTTGAGTTGCTTGAATGCGTCGTGTATGAATTTTGCCTGTTTGCAAGAAGAGACAAAAACAATTATCTTCTTTTTGCATTGGGCCCTCAAAATAGAAAACAATGCCGAAGTTTTGTGCTTTTCATTCACTACCATGTACGTCTGCTTCAGTAGCCCCTGCTGCTGATGCTGCTGTTGCTGGCCCTCCTGGTGCTGCTGCTGGGGGTCTGACGGCCGCAAATCGTCGGTGCAAATGAACTCAGGCTTGCTGCTGCTGCTGCTGCTGTTGCTGCATAGCAGCACCCCCAGCCTGTGCACTGCGCTGCGCAAAGTCGCAGAGAACAGCAGCGTCTGCCTTGTGGGGGGCAGAGCAGCAACAATCAACTCCATTGTCTGTTGAAAGCCCAAGTCCACCAGGCGGTCTGCTTCATCTATGGCTGCAGCAGGGACGTAAAAAACGCAAGACAGACGGGCTGCAATGTGAAGAAAAAAAGCAGCGGCAGCAGGAGCAGCTGGTGCTGCTGCTTCTGCTGCTTTCTTGGCTGCAGGGTCATGCTACCCAGCTGCGGTGCAAACGCAAGTCAGAGCTGCAACAGTAGCAGCAGCAACGAATGCAGCAGGAACAGCAGAGGTAGCAGCAACAACAGCAGCAGCAACAGCAGCAGTAGCAGCAGCAACAGGAGCAGAGGCAAGGCTTGCCTAGGATTAAAAGTCTACTTGCATCCCACATGGGGGACTCATCAATGTGCTGCAGCAGGCGGCCAGGCGTAGCAACAATTATGTTTAGCTGGCCAATGCGTTCTGCCTCAGCTTCCACTCCTTTGCCCCCAATTAAGCAGCCTATCGAGAATTCGTGATGTCTGAATAGCAGCAGCAGCAGCAGCAGCAGCAGAGACACCACTGGTGCAGCAAGCGCAGTGACGCATCAACAGCAGCTGCAGCGGTTAGCTCTAGCCCGACCCCCAGCAGCAGCAGCAGCAGCAGGGGCGGCAGCAGCAGCAAGGAGAGCCTCACTGGCCAACCGCTTTAAACACGTCAAAGATCTGCACAGCTAGCTCTCTTGTGGGAGTCAAAACAATTGCTGCAGTGCCATCTGGCCCGCAGATCTCCTCCCGGAAGAGGCGCTCCAATATCTGCGCAGAAACCCCACCCCTAAACAGCAGCAGCAGCGGCTGCAGCAGCAGCACTGCAGCACCCTCAGCAGCAACGGCAAAGGCGTTAGCAGCAGCGCCAGCAGCAGCTCCAGCCCGTCCCCCGGAAGCAGCAGCAGCAGCAGCAGCAACAGGAGAGTATGTTTACGGGGATAACGAAGGCGAGGGTCTTGCCACTGCCCGTCTTAGCCTGCGCCTTGACATCTCTGCCAGCAAGTGCATGCGGAATTGCTGCTGCTTGGATTTGTGTCAGTCGGCTGAAGCCGCAAGCTGCCAGTCCCTTTTGCGTGAGCCCCGAGAGAGGCAAGTCTGCGAACACCTTGTCAGTCAACACGCCGTGCTTCCCCCCCTTGCTGCTGCTGCTGCTTTGGGCGCGCTGCTGCTGCTCCTGAATTGCAGCAAGCGACGGGGGCAGCCACTGGCCCCCAGGAGGAGGCATCTCCAGCAGAATGCGCTGCTGCAGCTCCGCTATTTCCAGCTTCTCCCGCTGCCGCAGCTTCTGGGGGGCCCCGGTCCCCTGGCCGCCACTATGGCGGCCCTTTCGTCCGGGGGCCCCCCTGGGGGGCCCCCGGGGCCCCTTGTGGCGTGGGGCCCCATCTTGGCTGGGGGCGAGCCGTCGGCGGCGGTGGCTGGTGCCTTCCGCGCCAATGCCCTCGTCAGGCTGACGGGAAGAGGCGGCTGCAGCTGCCATTCTGCTACCGTTGCTGCTGCTGCTGTTTTGATGGATTTTGCTGCTGCAGCGGCTGCTGCTCCCCTTGATGATACCGGCCGACCTTCGCAGACTTCCTCATGAAGCCCGCCTCAGTCGCTGCAGCTGCTGCTGAAGTTGCTGCTGCAGCTGCTGCCTTTGCCACCGTGCATGCGCTGAGGGCCTTACGGAGCCTTTGTGCTGCCGTCCTTCTTGGTCTGCTGTTGCCTTCGAAGCGGCCTGCAGCCTCTGCAACGCTAATAAATGTGTCTAAACGGATAAAAATAACAAAAATAAAGTTATTTATCTCTTTCAATCCAGCACTTGAGCCTTTGAGGGGACATTTCCAGAGTTGCAGGTCGTGGTGAGGGGCCCACTGAGGGCCCGCAGTGCCTCAGCGGAGTCTGCGACTTCGGGCAGCAGCCTTGGGGGCCCCTCTCCCCAGAGCTGGCAACACCCAGGTACATAAGTGAGGCACAGCGAAAAAGGATATCTAAAAGTTAATAGACGTAATTTTGAATGTTGGCGCTCTGTAGGGAGCCCGGCTGAAGGGCTGCAAGGGCAGATGCCTCTTCTGCTCCAGCATTTGCGCAGCTGCTGGGCTGGTGCAGTGGACGTACACCCGAAGGGCCAAATTAGGAGGCGCCAAAGAAGGCCCTGGAGGAGCCTTTAGACATATTAGCGTCATTGCGAGCTGCAGCCGGCGGCTGGCTCCTTTCAGTGCCGCAGTCGCAGCTGCAGCAGCTGCTGCAACTCACGCCGCCACTCACTGCTTCCGTTGGCTATTGAACTTGACTGAAGAGCCCACTCTTTGAGCCGCGCTTGAAGAGCCCACTCTTTGAGCCGCGCAAGGACTTACAGCTGCATCTGGAAGTGCAGCAGCAGCAGCAGGAGCGCCAACTGCAGCGATAGTGGCTGCAGCAGCAGATGTTTGGTGGCGGGAATTGGAGTGGCTTTGGGGATTACTTGGGGGCAAAGACTCGCAAAGTTCAGCAGCAACTTCAGAACTCCCTAGCTTCAGAGCGCGCACGCGAAAGCAGCAGCAGCGGCAGCAGCAGCAGCAGCAGGGAGCTGCGTTGGTGGAACAGATATGTGCAGCAGCCCTCATCTCTCTTTTCCTCCTTCACCTTTTACATAGACGGCCTGCAACGCCTCCAGGGTTACGAGTTAATCTCCACAGGCTACAGCGAGGCTACTGATGCAGGCATAGGCCCCAGAGGCCCCTTACGGGGGCCTAGGGGGGGCCCCCCAGGGGCCCCCCCGACGAGCGCGGCTGGAAACTTCAGTGGCCCTTCTGCAAAAGGGAAGTTGGAAGGTTCGCCATGGAGCTTCTCAGGCGTCTCAGCAGGGGGCCCCTCAAGGAACCCTCCGGGGGGCCCCTCAGGGGACCCCCCAAAGGGCCCCTCAGGGGGCCCCCCAAAGGGCCCCTCAGCGGGCCCCTGCGTGAATGAGTACGTGGTAGACGCTGTGCAGCTGAAGAGGGTTTTAGTGGCTCACGGGGGAAGCATTTCGATCATGACGGGCAAAGGGGTCACTCACGTGTTGGTTGACAATCTCGCGCTGGGCAACCAGAAGTGGAGAAAGCTGCGGTTAGCTGCTCGCTGCTGCTGCTGCTGCTCTGTGCGCTGCTGCAGCAGCAGCAACTGCTGCTGCTACTGTTGAAGGATACCTAACTGCTAGTACTATGTGGAGCTAAATGGTTTCAAATCGCTCCAGAGCTGCGCGGCGCTCGCGGCGCTGCGGCCTTCGCTGCTGCTGCTGCATTCGCCGCTGCTGCTGCCTTCGTTGCTGCTGCTGCACTTGTTTTTGCTGCTGCTTTTGCTGATGCTGCTGCTCTGCCGCAGGGACAGAGGGGGCTGGGCGCGGAGCTACGTGGTGGTGCGCTGCTCGTGGGTCTTCTCTTGCATTGCAGCAAAACGACTTTTGTCTCCTGCGCTCTTCAAGCCCACGGGTCTCCAGCTTGCAAACCAGCACTTGCTGCTGCAGCGCTGGGCTGTTGCTGCTGGAGGCCGCCAGCCACAGCAAGGGGTGGCCCCGGGCCAAGCAGCAGAGGTTCTGGGCCAGCCTGTGGGATCTGCTGCTGCACTTGATCAGCAGGAGGCTCAGGGAGAGCCCGGAGTTGCTGCAGCAGCAGAAATGGGGCGGACTGGGGACTCCGGAAGAGTCAATGAAACAGTTGCGGGGAGGCCCGCAAGTGCAGCAGCAGCAGCGGTGGCGGCAACAGCTGCCGCTGCTGCCACTGAAGGAGATGGGCTGCTGCTCGAGCTTGAATCCAGCAGCGACGAAGAGCAGCAGCAGCAGCAGCAGCAAGGCCAACCCCATCCAAAGAAGATTCGAACTGAGGTTTCTTACTCTGTAGCCGATTTGGCAGTTCCTGTTTCTGCTGCAGTAGATATTGCTGCTGCTGCAGGCGCCGTTGCCGCAGCTGGGGCTGCTGCTGCTGCACCATTTGCTGGAGCAGCAGCTGCTTGCGCTACTGTAGCTATGCCAGGGCAAGCAACTGCAAGCTCCTCATCGGCTGCTGCGGCGCGACCTGCAGCAGCCGTAAATACTTCGGAAAAATCAAATACTCTGGCAGGAGCGCACGGCATTACAGCAGCAACAGTAACAGCGGCGCAAGATGCAGCAGCAGCACAGGACACACCAGCAAGCGCATTACTGGCTTCAAGCGCATTGTGCATCCCCACAGCAGCTCCAGCAGCTCCAACAGCAGCAGCTGCTGCTGCAGGAGTTTCCCGATCAGTAGCAGAACGAACGGAGATCGCCTCATCGGCGGGAGAACTCACAGCAGCAGGAGTGGCAGCAGCAGGAGCCGCACAAACAGGAGCCGCAGCAGCAGGAGCCACGGTTGCAGGAGCCGCAGTGGGAGCCGCTTCAGGCGTATCAAGTGGTGAGGGCAATAGAGGTACCGTTGACTGCCGGCGTCCCGATTTTGTCTCTTCGTTTTTTGAACATTCTCGCCTCCACTTCATTGGGGCCTGGCAGAACCGCTGTGCCTCCATGCTATCGCGTCTGCTGCACAGCAGCAGCAGCAGCAGTAGAGGGCCCCAGCAGCAAGTTGTACTTCGGTGGGTAGACGCGTCAATCACCAGCAAGGAGCTGGAACCGCTGCTGCTCCCGCTGGGCTTGACACTATCACATGAAAGCGATTTTGCTGATGCTGCTGCTGCTGCCCACTCTCCGTTGCTTCTGCGTTCACCCAACGCAAGGACAGCAGCAGCAGGAGGAGCAACAGCACTTCCTGGAGCAGCGGCAACGACGACTGCAGCAGAAGGGAGGTGGATTCTGCACGTTGATTTCGATGCTTTCTTTGTCTCCGTGGCCCTGCTTAAGCATCCCCACCTGAAGGACAAACCGGTGCATAGTGATCTTTGTTGCTGTTGGTTTGCTGCGGCCGTTGCGGCTGCTGTTGCTGTTGCTGTTGCTTCTGCTAGAGGATTAAACCTTGCACTGTATCTTTCCTGCACTCGCGGGAAGGGTTCCCTCAGCAGGTGCTTGGCTGACGAAGGTCTTGAGGACCTGCTGCTGCTGCAGATGCTTTTTTACTGCTGCGGTTGTATTCTTCTGCTGCTACAGGTAGCAGTATGTCACTCAAGAGGGCATCGAACATTTGCTGAGCCTACACGTAAGAATGATACTGCCAGTTTTGGCGAGGCCGACTGCCCCCTCCCTTTGCTGTTGTTCTATCTGCTGCTGCTGCTGCTGCTTGTGAGCAACAGCCGTTCCTGCTGTGCTTTGCGCTTGTTGCTGCTGCTGCTGGTGCCGGGAACTAATCCCCGGTTTTCGCCCCTGTTTGTCATGCCTTTGAACCGGCAGTGTTGGCGTTTGCGTTGTGTGTCTGTTACTTAGCGGCAGCTGTAGCAGCAGCTGCAGGGAAGGCGCCCGCGGCAGGCGCAGCAGCAGCAGCAGCGGTAGGTGCAGGTGGTCGTGGCAGGGGTACGTCTGAGATAGCCAGTTGCAACTACATCGCGCGATCGCAAGGCGTGCAGAAGGGCATGTGGCTGCGGCCGGCGCTAGATCGCTGTCCTTCTTTGGTGCTTCTTCCTTATGATTTCGAAGGCATAGAAAGAGCAAGTGAAGGCCTTTTTCAGGCAGCTCTGTCTTTGTCGCACAGACTCGCGCCGCTTTCCTGCGATGAGGTCAGGCAGCACACACGCACACACAGCCTGCGCTGTATGGGCAATTGGCGGCTCTTTGTTAGTTAATGAGGCTTGGTCTTCGGGAACTCCGCTTCTGGTCTAATGTCCTCATTATAAGGCCAAATACTTGTTTGTAGAACCTGAAGCTGCACTGTTGGGGCATGGCTACGGGAGAGAAGCTCACTGGGGGAGCAGGAGGGCTGTGGGTCTTCCGGGAAGGCGGCAGCTGCATCAGTAGTGGCAACGGCTTTAGCTGCAGCAGAAGCGAGAGCTAAGTCGGTGCGTTTGTTTGTGCTGCAGACTTTCATTCAGATTTGCTTTCCGCTGCTAACCCAAGCAGAAGGGGCCCTTGCCACTCAGCTTACAAGCAGCAGCAGCATTAGCTCAAACCAGAATGCCGCCAGTAGCAGCTCTAGCAACGAAACTACCGATCACAGCTGCTGCAGGAGCAGCAACAGCGCAAGCAGTGGCAGCGACTATAACAATACTGGCAGCAGCAACAACGACAGTAGCAACAGGGTAGACGAAGCTGAGATCGTGGCGGATGTTTGCATGTCGTTAAGAAAAGCCATAATTGGAATCACTGGCTGCAACGTTTCGGTGGGAGCTGGCTGCAACTGTCTTCTGGCAAAACTGGCGACGGCTGCAGCAAAGCCGTCAGTGGAAGCTGCTGATGCGTCAAAAGGTTCTAGTGCAGCACGAGCTGAAACGGCAGCAGTGATTCAGCGGGAAGGTGTATGCGTGGTGAAACCGGGAGCAGCAAGTGCAGCAGCATTTGTGGGGCGGCTGCTGTTGCGCCAAGTGCCGGGTGTAGGGCCCACAGTGGCGTCAAAAGTTGCTGCTGCAGCACGAGCAGCAGGAGTAAATGTCAAGACCTGCACTGACATCCAGACACAGGGCAAGGACTCGCTGCAGCTGCTGCAGACTGCGCTTGGTATGAAGTGCACGGCTACTGCAAAGGGAGGACTTTAGAGCAGCCTTAGGTGCAGCTCACCTCCAAGTAATATCTCTTTTACTGTAACATTTTGTCCCGCAGGTCGAAAGAGAGGGGCTCAGCTGTGGTGGCTCTGTCACGGAGTAGATGTGCGACCGCCTCCTGCTGCTCTCCCTGCAGTTCCTGGGTTGGGTAATTCTGCTGCTGCAGCGGGACCAAGTGCCGGGACCACAGCAGGAGCATCAGCAGCCGGAGGCAGCGGTGTACCGGCAAGTGGGTCGCTAAGCATTTCTGTGAACTGGGGGATTCGTCTGCAACAAGAGGCAGACGCACTGAGCCTTCTCAAGCAAATGGCCCTTGAAGGCCACAAGCGACTCAAAGCAAGCAGATTATACAGTGCCAAGATCTCCGCTAAGGCAGGCTCCTCACCCCGATTCCTTTCGTTTGAGCAAAGATTTTCCCGCTTATTGCGCCCTTTTATCTGTATTTAGACTCCGAGTGTAGTTCTTAAGCTTCGACCATAGCTGCAAAACCCCTAGCCGCCAGTGGAAATGCTATGTGGCGAGCCTTTTCCTTAGAATTGAGTTAGAAGAGATTGAGACGTTTGAGGTGTAAAGGTGCTCAGCTCCCACCGCTGATGGTGTTGCTGCTGCAGATACTTTACCGCCGGCCAGGGGCCCCCGTGGATACGGTGAAGTTCTTGGGCTGTGGAATATGCGACTCGGCAAGGGGATCGCGTGTCATTGGCAGCCGGAGCAGCGGAGGCAGCAAAAGAACTAGGAGCGACGGGTTTGGGGTACAATCGGCAGAAGACTTGTACACAGAGCTGGAGGCGTTGTGGAGAGAGAGTCTCAGCGAGTGCGCACTTAAGTTTATTAATGTTGCTGCAGTTATTGTTGCTGCTGCATTGGGGATGCCGTCGATGCCACAGCGACAAAGCGTGTGAGCCCTCTGGCTTGGTTCCTGTATTCTGCTCTGTTGGCGGTTACGACTGCGTTTTCCTGCTTTGCTGCAGTGTGTGCCCACTGGAAGACTACCGCGGGATTACGCTGCTGCTGCAGCAGCTGCGGACGGAGCAGCAGGAAGGAGCACTGAGGCAACAGCAGCAACACCTTCAGCGGAATCTCTTGAGCGTAGCTTTCTCAAGCATCAACAGCAGCAGCCACGACCCCAGTAGCAACATTTGCAGCAGCAACTCAATCAACGGTACTGGCAAGAGCAGTAGCAGCAACAGGATCAATACATACAGCGGCACTGGCAAGAGTAACAGCAGCAGCAGCAGCAGCAGCAGCAGCACGCCAGAGCCATGCTTCATAGTCGTAGAATCAGTGGAGCAGCCCGAAGGTGAGTCGCCTTCACAAAGCCAGACACCGCAGCAGGACCAGCAACAATGTCCAAAGCAGATGCAAAGGCACCAGGAATGCCAGCATCGAGACCTGGCGCAGAAAGAACAGGTGCAACAGGAGGCCCCGGGTGGGTCCGTCACCAAGGCAGTTCCAACTGCGCCTTTTGATGGCTGCTTCATAGTTGACAGCGGAAGCAGCAGTGACAGTGAAAGAGGCAGCAGCAGACAAGAGGCAAGAACACCTGTGCTTGCGACCCCATCTCGGACTGCGGCTGCCACAAAACCACAAAATGCCCAGCAGTCCTCAGGAAACAGTTCAGCCACGGCCGACTCTGCAGCTGCAGTATCTGCAGCTGCTGCAGCTGCTGTGTTTGCTGCTAGCGGCCTCAAAACGCCGGCGCAAACCCCAAAGAGACCTCGTGGAAGCCCGGAGGCAGGTCAATTACAGCAGAGCGCGCAGCAGCAACAGCAGTGGGGCGCACGCACACCTGACAGCCAGGCATCAACTCCCCGTTTGAAAACCATGAAATTAAACAGGAGCCACCGCATGCAAACAGCGCAAACTCCAGCAAGTGAGAGGATCGGCGGCAGACGCCTTCAAAGAAGCAAGAAGGCACTACTCGAAGCAACAGCAGCGACACCCAGAATGTCTGGAGCAGCAGCAGCAGCAGCAGCAGCACCTGCTGCTCCTGCATCGCCTGTTGCTGGCGCTGGAAGGTCGCCCATGTCAACCCAACGAAGCCTTGTAGAATATCTGCCGAACAGCGGAAAGGCCTCCCGGCGCGCTTCAAGCTGTGCTCATCCGAAGCAGCAGCGGCAGCAGCAGCAGCAGCAGCAGCAGCAACCTGGCAGCAGCTCCATAGGAAGGGCCCAGGCCCGTGACGCGGTTTTTGCTGCTGCTGTCAGTCGCGCAGCTAGCAGCGCTCTGCCGAATGTCGTATCTCTACTGACGCAGAATCCAGACGGCTGCAGCAGCAGCGGAGGAAACAGCCCGGGCCACTCCAAGCTCGACCTAGCGAAAGAGCAGAAAGGAAAGCAGGACGGCGACTGCTGCTGCGCTGCTTCTGGCAGCAGCAACTGTTGCTGCTCTCCTGAGGGATGTGTTGCCCAATGCATGTCACTTGTATGTCCTCCTAATGGTCGTAAGTTCCGTCCGCCGCTGCCGTTCCGCATTGCTGCTGCAGCTCAGCCAGTGATGCAGCTTCTGCTGCATCATGCTGCTGCGAAGGGCGCCGCCGCTGCTTGCCGTCGAGGTACAACAGCCTTGGTCGTAACTGCAGTGTCAGCGCGCATCACTGCTGCTGCTACCAACAGCAGCAGCAATCCCGGTCCTGCATGTACTCAACACACGCAGCAATTGTCAGCTTCTGATACAGCTGGGCCTACTGATTCGCCTCCTCCTACACCAAGCGCTGCCTCAAACTCTCCAACAGCTGCTGCTGCGGCCGCAGAAACTAAGCCGTCTTCGGCCAATCCAGCTGCCACCGCCTCCAGCCCGGCGCAGGAGACCTCTTTAAGAAAAGAGGATTCCGATCGGGAGGCCTCTGCCATTGAGGAAGAGTCGGAGGCCCGTGCGAATGACGGGGACGCGGAGCCGCCGGCCGGAGCAGAAGGGGCTTACTGGGAGTGTTTGGCTGATGCCCTCGAGGGATTTTCAGGAGCTCTTCTCCTGATTTTTGAGCGATTGGGGGCCGTAGGGGCTCATGAAGAGAGGCAGCTGCTCTTCAGAGCGCTGCAGCGACTGCTGCAAACTCCGGAAGCGCGGGCTACTGTGGCTGGGGCTGCAGCAGATGATGCAGCAACTAGGCAAACTGGTAGATGGAGGGTAGCCCCGCAGGGCCACCCATTTTCCCTTGCTTTGCTGTTGTTGAAACTGTTGGCCTGTCCAGCAGGCCGACTTGTGTGGCCTCTGCTGCTGCACCGTGCAAGAGACATAGTTTGTTTTTCGTGAAAACCCGTTGCACTCCTGCCAAGGGAAGCTCATTCAGCTATCATCAGGCTTCGGCGTCGGCGTTCCATTTTCTTGAACGGTTTGGTTTGATGCTTGCCTCGTGCGTCATGTGAGAGTCAGGCAGTTCTTACAGGGAATGGCTGTTTCTGTTTTGATTGGAGCAGTTTGGGGGCCTTTGCTTTCGCAGTCCCCCAGCGAATTGTTTGAATACTCAGCGTTTCGTTGTGCATTGCTGCGGCCGCGGCTGCAGCAGCCGCTTAGGCAGCTACCAGCTGCATCTGCTGCAGCAGGAACTCGCAGCAAACTGCATTCAGGCGTCCTGCCCTGGCTGCTGACTAAAGCTCAAGCTATTGAACACTTTAGATATAAACCAAGCTCATAGCTGGCGTACGTTCAGTACTGAGGGGAAAAATGCAAAGGCAGCAGCATCAGTTCACTTCTTGTCGTCCCTGAGCCTCGTGCGCAGCCAAAAACATTTCCTGGGCTGTTTCTTTAGCACAGGCGATGGCAACTGCTCTTGCTGTAGCGCGCAGCCCATACAAATCGGTGACGCACTCAACTCCCAACACACTCTAGCTTTGTCCACGCAGATCCTTGAGTGGATTCCCGAAAACACTAAGAGAAGCACCGCCACAAGCAGCATCTACTTTCCGGTACAAGTTTCAGACTGCAGCTGCTGCTTCTGCTACTGCACAAACCAGCGCACTCGGCGTTGCTTCAAATCCCCGTGTGGCTCCTTCAGCAGCTGCAAATGCTACACATGTGCGCGCGGGGTGACCTTGGCAGCGTTCGGCTCTTCTGCTAAGAGGCTTTTAAGCCCTGATCTGCACAAAGAACAAAACGCGCACTGGTTTTTCTATTTCCGCTGCTAGTATCTCCGTTCGTGTGCCTTTTTCTCTAAGTTTCTCAGTATTTTCTGCCTCTGTATCTGCGCTTAGTTTCATCCATATCTCTGTCGGGCTCACATAAGCAAGAGCACCGCCTCCTCAGTAGGAAGGCCTGTGCAATGCCACCTGACTCTCGCAGCTTTGTCGACCAGAAGAACAGTTACGAATTTCTGCCTTTCCTTTCTCTTCAGCGCTTCTGTCTCTACCCGTCCCCACCGTCCGCTGTATCCCAAAAAGGAACCCACTAGGGCCCGACTGGTGGATCCCCTGCCGAAAAGGGCCCCGAGCCGGCTGTATTCCTCCGCCAGCCGTCTCACTTCATCCTTTTCTTCGGCTTTATGGGGCTCCAGAGGCCCCTGCTGCATGCAACGAGCCTGGCGAAAACGCTGCGGGAATGTGTGGAAGGGAGTCAAGGGATGGAATGCGGGTGAAAGATGCTGCATGCTCCGGAGAGCCAGTCGTCTGAGCCATATGGGGGCATGGTCAATACAGATGTAGGAGACCCTGGCCAACTCAGGATCTTGGGAAGAACCTCGTCGGTATATGCGCGGACGCAGCTGAGCGATGAGGTCGTGCTGCGCTGAGCCGGTCGTTGCAGCAGCAGCAGCAGCAGGAACGAAGGCAGAACCGTACACCGCTGAAATGAATCCGCTGTGGCGCTCCAACAGGCGCAGCCAAGAGGCCACATCGGATATCTGGGAATGTTGGCCTCCCACGTCGAAGAGAAACAAGAGCGACACGTGTCCATAGAGGCGTTCAACCAACTGTAAAACCACAAGGTAAACACAGCGACAGTCAGTGGCCGAAAAATTCCACGGCAGAGGTAAAATGCGAAACTGGTGGCTCAACCTGTTGAGAGGAATTCAACGCAAATGCATGGGAACATCATTTTGCAGCTCACCGCTGTCTTTGGGTGCATTCCTGTCACGTTTGGCTTGTGGCCTCGCATTTCCCCAAACCCCAGTCTGCTGGCCTGTGCAGAATGATCTAAGCTGTCTTGAAGACTAAACGGAGTGACGAAGAATAGAGGTGGCAGCGGCTGGGATTCGTTGGGGGGAAGCAGGCGAGAAGGGTAATGGTGTGCTGCTGTCATCCCGTCAACGTACCGCTTGTACAAAATGGGAGGTGAACCTGCACCGTTGGAAGCTTCAGCAGTCGAAGAAAGGGAATTTGTGGCTGCCGTAGACAGTGGCCACGAAATGGCGCTCTTGACGCGGCGCCAAAAGGCTCGTGCGTCGTTCACCTCGAGTTCTTCTTCCAGTTCACTCTTTGACATGAAGGTACTTAAATCTTTTGAGCTGGTAGCCTGACTCCCTTGTATGGGAGCAGCGCTTCCAGATTCGTGGTTGGATGCAATCCTGCGGGCTCTTTCAGACATGTCTGCGGGCCATTCAACTCTAATGCGCAGCGAGGGTGTGCTCGTTGTGGTCCCTGCAGAGGAAGCTGCAGTGTCCTTCTCCATGCTCCCAGCAATGGCTGGAGAGGCCTGAGAAGATTCCACATGGAAACGACGGTACTGCTGCACCTGTAAAGCTGCAAGTTCAAGGGTCGTCGTGACGGATTTCTTGAAAGCTACAGCAACCGAAAGCTCTAGGGCTTTTCCTACGGGGACCCCTACGCCCCTGAGGGCCCCGCGCACGCCAAGTCTTGAAGTCATTGGGCCTGCTCTCAGCAAAGACTTTCAAGAGAAGTAGTCGCTGAGACAGATTTACGCCTACTTTGGTTTCGGCCACATAGTATTGGTCTTTCAGAAGGCGCCCCGCGGAGGAGCGTCCATGGAACGCTACGGAGGGATAAAAGCAATTAAGAGTTTGTATCTTGTTCGTGTTAATTATTTTTTAATACCAGGAGCGAGCTCCCCACAGCCCCTAAGAGTGAAATCGATCCTGTGCGTCGGCAGTCCCCCAATGGTGTTAGGGTGTCACATCCTCATTCAGTGTTCCTAATATGTGCTGCGGAACGAAATGCAGACGATATTATTTACTGAATCCAAGTGGAAAATTTTCTCCCTGTCAGTCATTTCTTTGCTTTCCGACTTCTGGTCAATCTGGCTGAGCCCTGATAGGGCTTGTGGTGCCTGCAGGTTATCGCACAGAACATTTGCCGTTCTCGCGGCTTGCAACACATTGTAACTTGCTACTTTTCTGCAAAGGCCAGCACGCAGTCTTATGGTATATTTTCTTTTTCAAGCATGGGACAGGGAGGCGTCGCTGTGGCACGGAGCAGAGTCAAGCAGTTGCCTTGTGGTCCACAGTAGAATCCACAGAAAATCCCAGGTAAAAATTTTGATACGGCTCGCTCATGGAGCTGGTACGGGCAAGAGTAGGCCTGACACTCATCAGGGCCTGTCAATGCAAAGTATTAGAGCTATTCGTGAAGCAGTGCTCCCTCTTCGTCTTATGCTTACAAGAAACAGGCACTGGGTAGCAATTTAGCCTCCAACTTAGCAACAGCGCTCTCCGCCACAGCAACCGCGCTCGCCACAACAGACTCTAATGTCCGGCGCAGATGTTCAACTTTTCCAGGATCCTCGCGCTCATTCATTTGCTTGCGAGGCCTCCCACCAATACTGGCCTGGATCCCGATGCGGGTGCAGTGTGCGCAACTGAAACTCTGCATATCTCTGATACTTTGTCAAAGGTGTCATTAATGCAAATGAAGCCATCGAGTGATCTTTGACTCCTTCGCCGGAAAGCAACCAGTGGACACCATAGTCGCGAAATCTTATAGTTTGTTTCTCTGCGTACTGGGGTGCGCCATGTTCCAAGACATTTTCCAACGCAGAGAATGCCAGCTTGCATTACAAAATTCTTTGACCTGTCAAGTAGTATGCATTGTCGACTACTAGCTGTGAGAAGTAAGTCGCAAACCTTTCGCCCCGTTGCTTTGTAAGCACGCTCATATTTTGCGTGGAGGACCAGTAACACAGACCACTTTAGTCGCTTGGGGCTTCTGTCAAGTAGCTACATCTATGATACACTCATCTCTCGGCACGGACAGATTGTACGTCAGCAAAATTTTGTTTGGTGGTGGCATTGATACTCGATCCACCCGAATTTTCATGGCGTAGCCCAGCGGCTCAGTCTCATTCTGGGTATACAGCGGCCACTATAGCTCCTGCGTCGCTTTCTTCTTCTCTTGTTGCTCCTGCATTCTTGCCGATTTCATCCGATTTTTGCCCTGTTTTTACCTCCTGTGAGGCAAACACTATCTCACAAGCATTCATGCCCAGAAGACCTCATTCTGTGGTTCGCGCTGCAGTGGCACCACGAAGAAACAACAGGCAGTCTGTGTGGCTGGCTTTCTTTCTGCTTCTGGTTGTATACAGTTGATGCTGCTCTTCGTCGCACTCGTCTTCATGCTTCGCCGTGATGCTGTTGCAGATGCTACTGGCGCTTCAGCAAGAGAGACACACTGGTTTGCCATCGCAGCCAGAGAATGAGGCAATCATACAGGAAGTAAAAGGGCCAAGCAGAAGCACTTAAATTGGCCTTTGCAGGAGCAGAAGCGCCAGTAACATCTGAATACTACAGCTCACACTGTTCACCGACGCTACATTTCGTATGCGCTAGCCAGAAAAAACAAGGCGCATAGCCAACCAAGCAACATCTCCAAGCAGAAATAGAAAGCAGCACCACCCAACAACAGCTAAACGCAGCAGCATCGATCATCACAACCAAAGAACAACAACAAGCAGCACCACCAAATAACACCATCGAGCAGCACAACCAAGAAGCAGCAGCAGCAACAAAAAGCTGTAACAGACAGCAGCACCAAACGGCAGCAAATATTTTGGTGAATCTATTTTCCATGCTGTTGCTACTGGCGCAGGCGTCTTGACCCGGCACTCCACAAGTTTTAACCAAGTTGCTGCTGCCGCTTCTGCTGCTCTTCTGGCTGGTTGAAGAACTGTAGCGGTCTGACCCCACTGCGACGCATACGGGTGCGTCTTCTGCCCAATTTCCGAATTTCTCTATGTTTTTTCCCCATACCAGAAGTGAAGCAAAAAGACCATCTTGTTCATAACATACAACCTACCCGAAAATTCTTCGAATCACGGTATAACAGCCGCAAGCAGCACGAGTAGCAGGTGCCACAACCAGGAAGCAGCAGCAGCAAAAAATAAAAGGCAGCAGCAGGCAATAGCAGCAACACACAGCAGAAGGCCACGACAGCAACACGCAGCAGCAGGCAGAAACAGCAATCAGCAGTAGCAAATAGCGGCACCGACCAGCACCGAGCAGCAGGCAGCAGCAGCAGCAAATAACGTGCAGCAGTACGTATCAGCAGCAAGCGGCAGAAGCAAGCAGCAGCAGTAAGCGACAGCACCAAGAAGCAGCAATACGGGACTGCAACAAACAACAGCAGCGAGCAGCGGCAGCCAGTAGCCCTTCCACCCTGCAGAAGCAAGAGGCCAGCAAACAGCAGCAACATCAAGTAGCAGCAAGTAAAAGCAGCACCACATGGGAACAGCGCGCAGCAGCCGCAGCGGCACGCAACAGTAAGCAGCAGAAACAGCAGCAAGTAGCAACAGCAGCAAAGAAGAACAAGCAGCATCAAGCAGCAACAGTAAGCAGCAATAGCAGCAGAACCAGCCAGCACCAGCAAGAAACAACAGCAGGCAGCAGCGGCAAATAGCAGCAGCTTCTGCAGCATGGAGCAGAAGCAGGAAGCAGCACCGAGCAGCAGCAGCAGCAGCACGCAGCTACATCAAGGAGCAACAACAAGTAGCGAATGCAAGCAGCAATAACAAACAGCAGCAGGAAGTAGCAGCAACAGGCTGCAGAAGTGAGACGCCCCTGGATGTTTGGTGGCCTCTGCACTTTCGAGACTGGAGAGGCAGTTCCTCCCTTCCTAGGTGTTACTCTCAGATGTTACTTCATCGCCTGCAGCAAATGCTGGAAGGGTGGGTGGAAACTCCCATGCAACGAAAACAATTGGAGGCAGCTGCTGCTGCAGTAGTTGCTACAGATGCTGCAAGTGAAAGTGCTGCAGCTGCTAAATGTTGTGCTGCCGCTGCAGACACTTCAGCCAATGCTGCTTCTCCAATCGTTTTCCTTTGCTAGCTCTGGTCTTCCAGCAGTGGCGGAAAATCAGCAGCAGCTGAAGAAGAGGGTGCAGCTCATGATGCTTTCCTATGTCTTAGTCTGGGAAGTTTGGGATGAGTTGCACCTTTTGGGAAGCCGCGAAAATACTGCCATTAGACTTACTCTTGTGACCCAGTACCCTAGGCCCAAAATTGCAAGGCATTTTTTTTGAAATGTAGCGCCTCTTTGTAGCCTTATCTATCTGATTCCTATCAACTGCTGTAAAGCCAGACGGATTTAGACGAAATTGGGAACTGCAAAACTGAAGACTGATGGGTGTTTTTAAACCCAGCATCAGCCCTCTAGTAATATTACGCGATGCTAGCTCAAGAATGTTATTAACGCATGTACACGGATGATGGACGCTGTTGCGTTCTTTTGTTTGCTGCGCACGCATGTACACGGATGATGGATGCTGTTGCGTGTTTTTGTTTGCTGCGCGTCTTTGAAGGTGAACTAAGGCGAACTCCAGACAGGTAATACTTGGATTTCGAGTTAAATGCCCAGCGCCGCTGTTCAGCGGGTCGTCGTTGCACGTACACTGTTTAAAGATTGGCTTTCGCTGTGTGCTAGCTACACCAGCTGCAACAGGGCCCGATTGTTGCGTGCCTACTGAACATTCCCGAGGCCATGCTTCGACGTTCAGTAAGATCTGAACCCTGAAGCGTAAACCATAATGTTTCAAACTGTAAATCCCAAATATGGAGCCGTTATCCGTACAGCCCACGAGAAAGGACGCACGAATTTGCTCGGCGTCTTGGTTGAAAGTGTAGGTCATGAGGTTTGCTACGACTTCAGGTCTTGGATATGTTGTTTGTCTTGGTTTTTTCCGGTCTGTCTGAGGGTGAATTCTAGTACAAAGCTTTGCCTGCCCTCGAGCTCCTTTGCCTTTCGCACAAGCTTTCCCTTCAGTCCCTGACATTAGCTTAAGTTTCTTTTGAGATTTCCTCCCTGGCAAGCAGCTTAAGCTTTGAATACCATGCACTGCTTGAAAGAAGTTACCTTGTGTTCACTCCAGTATTTGACCTTGATCTTTAGCTTACGAAGCAGGCTGCGCGCTAATCAGTGTGTCCTGCATGAGTATATGGCTGGCGTCATGTCCTATAGTTGCAACCAGCTTGGCTGCCGCTCGAGGCATAGATCATAACTAGAGCTTTTTGCTGCCAGTCCTTCACAGTATATCAGTAACGAGCTGATGCGCGAAATACCCAGAATCTAATCTGAAGTCTTCGGGACTAAGTTGTGTTGGCTTACCTGCTGCATTGCCAAGCCAGCTATTACTATTACGTACAGCAGTACCGAAATAAAGAAAAGCCTCTCAACTGCACATCAGCATTTGTCACTGTTAAGACCGAAATTCATTCACTGCAGATACGATCTGTTTTGGGCCCCAAGTTGCGAACAACTAAACCTGTATAGCGGCTCATAGCGCCTGGTAAAGTTTCAGTACGAATAGCCATTTGCCACCCATACGAAGTATATTCTCGCCCGCTGCCACCGCGGCAGCAGTAGCTTCATCTTTCACCTGGATACCCGGTATACTGATGCGCTTCCACAGGAGCAACATTATCCGCAGGCATTGATTCCACGACTTAGATGGCCCGTTGAATGGAAGGGAGCTCTTCGGGTTGCCATGCTCCACCGATCTTGAAACCTGCAGGAACTAGACCAAAGTGAGGTCGGTGAAAGGATAACAATTTGCCACTTAATTCACTTCGTCTTCTGCATATTCAGCGGCAAGGTACCTAGGGACCTTAGCCGGTTCAGACTCGAAAACCATTGGAGCAGGATCCATCCGGGTGGGTTCCATAAGATCTGGACTAATTGGAGCAGGCTCAAGCGGGGCAGGATGAATTGGAGCTGGACCAATGGGACCAGGTTCAACGGGAGAAGGGCTAATGGGAGCAGGATCAATGGGAGCGGGGCCAATCGGATCAAGAGGAGCAGGGCTTATTGGAACAGGATCAACTGGATCACGTCTGATGGGAATGGGCTCAACTGGAGCAGGGCTAATCGGCACAGGGGTTATATAATCAGTTTTCATCGGAGCAGGATCCATCTTAGATGAAGCGGACTCAATAACCAACGGAGCGGGGTCCATAAGTGTGGGCGCAGACTCAAGTTGCATGGGAGCAGGCTCCATCTTAGATGGAGCAGCTTCAACAATCACAGCAGCAGGAGCTATCTTTGAGGGAGCAGCCTGAAGAATCAGTGGAGCAGGGTCCACCTGCGCTGGGGCAGCCTCAAAGACCAACGGAGCAGGATCCATAAGTGTAGGGGGTGGCTGAACTATGACCGGAGCAGCGGGCATTTTCGATGAGGCAGCTTCGATGATCCTTGGAGGAGGCGCCATCTTAGAAGAGGCAACTTGGACAACTCTCGGAGCAGGAGCCATCTTAGAAGAGGCAACTTGTACAACTCTTGGAGCAGGAGCCATTTTAGAAGAGGCAACTTCAACGACTCTCGGAGCAGGAGCCATCTTAGAAGAGGCAACTTCAACGACTCTCGGAGCAGGAGCCATCTTAGAAGAGGCAACTTCAACGACTCTTGGAGCAGGAGCCATCTTAGAAGAGGCAACTTCAACGACTCTTGGAGCAGGTGGCCTTGCAACTGGAGCAGCTCGAACGACCATGGGTGCAGGAGCATGGTCCATCTTTGATGGGGCAGCCTCAACGACGTTTCGCGTGACTGGCTCAGCACGTGCTACCATCATAATTGGAGCAGGCGCAACAGCAGGTGGAGCGTACATCTTGGGAGGAGGAGCAACCTTCATGGGCTGAGCCACATACCTGACCCTCTTTCTCTTCTTGCCAAGACCACGCTCAGTGGCGCTCTCTTCTTCAGGCTCGAAGTGTTCCTCTGCCTCTTCCTCTGCAGCAAGGTATCTGCCCTTCTTTGATGGAGCAGCCTCAATGACCATGGGAGCAGCTTTTTTAGTGGGAGCTGCCATCATGATTGGGGCAGGAGCCTTCATAGGTGGAGCGTACTTCTTGGGAGGAGGAGCAACCTTCACGGGTTGTTGCACATACATCGTCTTCTTCTTCTTGCCAAGACCACGCTCTTCTGCAGTTTCGTACTGCGCAGTCTCAATAGTTTCTGTCTCATACTGCACCTCAATCTCATCCTCAGCAGCAAGGTATCTGCCCTTCTTTGATGGAGCAGCCTCAATGATCATAGGAGCAGCCTCAATGACCATGGGAGCAGCTTTTTTAGTGGGAGCTGCCATCATGATTGGGGCAGGAGCCTTCATAGGTGGAGCGTACTTCTTGGGAGGAGGAGCAACCTTCACGGGTTGTTGCACATACATCGTCTTCTTCTTCTTGCCAAGACCACGCTCTTCTGCAGTTTCGTACTGCGCAGTCTCAATAGTTTCTGTCTCATACTGCACCTCAATCTCATCCTCAGCAGCAAGGTATCTGCCCTTCTTCGATGGAGCACCCTCAATGATCATAGGAGCAGCCTCAATGACCATGGGAGCAGCTTTTTTAGTGGGAGCTGCCATCATGATTGGGGCAGGAGCCTTCATAGGTGGAGCGTACTTCTTGGGAGGAGGAGCAACCTTCACGGGTTGTTGCACATACATCGTCTTCTTCTTCTTGCCAAGACCACGCTCTTCTGCAGTTTCGTACTGCGCAGTCTCAATAGTTTCTGTCTCATACTGCACCTCAATCTCATCCTCAGCAGCAAGGTATCTGCCCTTCTTTGATGGAGCAGCCTCAATGATCATAGGAGCAGCCTCAATGACCATGGGAGCAGCTTTTTTAGTGGGAGCTGCCATCATGATTGGGGCAGGAGCCTTCATAGGTGGAGCGTACTTCTTGGGAGGAGGAGCAACCTTCACGGGTTGTTGCACATACATCGTCTTCTTCTTCTTGCCAAGACCACGCTCTTCTGCAGTTTCGTACTGCGCAGTCTCAATAGCTTCGGTCCCATACTGCACCTCAATCTCATCCTCGGCGGCGAGATACCTGCCCTTCTTTGATGGAGCAGCCTCAATGATCATAGGAGCAGCCTCAATGACCATGGGAGCAGCTTTTTTAGTGGGTGCTGCCATCATGATTGGGGCAGGAGCCTTCATAGGTGGAGCGTACTTCTTGGGAGGAGGAGCAACCTTCACGGGTTGTTGCACATACATCGTCTTCTTCTTCTTGCCAAGACCACGCTCTTCCGCAGTTTCGTACTGTTCAGTCTCAGCCTCCTCAGCTTCAAACTGCACCTCAACCTCATCCTCAGCAGCGAGGTATCTGCCCTTCTTTGATGGAGCAGCCTCAATAATCACAGGAGCAGCCTCAACAACCATAGGAGCAGCCTTCTTTGTAGGTGCTGCCATTACGATAGGAGCCGGCGCCTTCATAGGTGGAGCGTACTTCTTGGGAGGAGGAGCAACCTTCACGGGTTGTTGCACATACATCGTCTTCTTCTTCTTGCCAAGACCACGCTCTTCTGCAGTTTCGTACTGCGCAGTCTCAATAGTTCCGGTCTCATACTGCACCTCAACCTCATCCTCAGCAGCGAGGTATCTGCCCTTCTTTGATGGAGCAGCCTCAATGATCATGGGTGCAGCTTTCTTTGTAGGTGCGGCCATAATAACTGGAGGAGGAATCTTCTTCACAGGCTCAGCAACATACGTCGTCTTCTTCTTTCCGAGGCCGCGTCCTGCTGCAGTTTCTCCGGTTTGGCTTTCTGCGTAGGCCTCAGCATCTGCATTATCAGCGGCAGGATACCGAACTGTCCGGGTTTCAACTTCACAGCAGCATCACCATCTGCGTAGATTGTTCTATGTTTGGGGTAAGGCTCAACAACTGAAGATGAAAAATTGCTCCGCCTGCGTCTGCTTTAAGTGTTCTTCATTAGATCTGAAGGCTTACCGTATCCTTGCTCTTCGGATGTTACATATGACTCTCCCTCAGGTACCTTTTCTGCTTGAGCGCTGTCTTCAGAACCTGAAACGGCGAAGTTATTGCTGGTGGTCGCGTCACATTGGCCCCGGCTTCTCAGCTTTTTTCTCCAGTCTGGTCTGTCCGCCTCTTCATTTTCAGCATTCACCTGTTCGACATTGCTTTCCTGTGTCTCTGTGACGCTGAAGCCTTCCGCCTCCATGCTTCCCGTCATCGCAGGAGCTTCATAGTAAGTAGGGGTGTTTTCAAGTGTCTCATAGCTCTGGGAGCCAAGTTCTGCTGCAAGAGATATGCCCGGCAGCGCGAGCAGTAAGGACGAGTGCAGCCTCATCTTAACGGAGCTGCACACACCTGTAGGCGTCTTTGGCGGCTTCCAACCCCTGCACAAATTACTAAAAAAGAGGAATCGGCAAACACGGGGCCTCCCAGAAAACTAACTTTATGACCTTGTGACGGTCCGTTGCCTTTGCTCAGGCAGTTGCGAACAACAGTCGCGCGGAGTGCACAATGTGGGGTCGGCGGCGGCGCAACCTATCGGGCTGCCAGCTTACCTGTCCCACGGCTCCGCTCGGGGCGGGAAAGGGAGGCTCCGCGTCCTATATTTTCGCTCGGATGAAACCTTAAAGCAAATGAAAAGCTATAAATTGTCCAATTTTTACAAAAGAGAAATTCGGCCTGCTGCGGAAGTCCTGTTTTCCTCGTGGCGAGTGCCAGGCCCGTGTAGACTTACGAGGTGACTTATCCGGTCTAAGCGCTACATGAGCACCATGAGCACCATTTCACATTGAAAGCTTCAAGAATTTGAATTTCTAGTTTTAATGTTGTCCAGTTTACATCATACTATGGAACCGCTGCATTTCTTTCAATTGGCAGCACTCGAGTTCATTTCCGGTGGTGGTCACTTTCGGTTTTGAGGCGCATTACTCAAAACGCCACCAATAGTCCCAGTTGTCGGCGTAATCTCAGGAACGTTTTTCTTTTAAATCCGACCATATTTCAGAGGAAAACGAAACTCCTGTGGCTGATAACTACAAACGCCTAAGAGCAGGTTTCCACGGTGCTGGCTGAATAGGTCGTAGCAGAGTGCAGTACGAACGACCCTGCGAAGAGAGCTCAACGGATATTGAATTTGGAACATTGTTTTTTCTAGTAATGGAATCAACAGCTACTTCTAAGGAGATGTTTGGCACCCGCCGCAGTTCCTAATCCACGCGACTTGCTGCATATTGAGCACAGGATTTTTGTCCGAAGGCCAGCTTATCTGTTGCTGCCCAGTTTGTCCTAGTGAGGCAAGTGACTTCAGTTGCTCTTAATAACCCTTGCCCCGTAGCGACAGAACTCTGCGAACTGTTGTGGCGGTGGAGCGGCACCGAACGCTCACAAGCATGTAACGAACATCAGGAAACTGAATGCCACCAGCTAATTTCGAGCTGAAAAAAGAAATAGCCTGCTCAATTGAGCACAGGTGCATACAGAGGCTTATTACAAGGGGATCATATTGGGAGTCGTTGGTGCAACAATGGACGTAGACCACCGTAGACCACCGCTTTGCACTTCGTGTCGCCTAGTACCCGATTTGTTGCTACACAAGGTTCAAGAACTGCCCGGACCTTCGATGAAGTGCATAAAACAGGCCACTATTCACTTATTCAGTTTCCCGGGAGCAGCTACCCAGCATGGCTGCTCTGTGTAGCTGAATCGGCACAAGCGCGGTCTGCATTTGAAACCCTTGCATTGGAGGGGCCACCATGGAGAAGTGCCTAGCTCAGAAGCAATTTCAATAAACTTGTACACATTGCTGCCGTGCAATACGATGAGCCCGGGTTTGCTGTATATATTTGGTTCAAGTCAGTCCAAGGACATTTTCACACATGAAGGCACTGCAGGACGTCAAACTTGAATGGCCTTGCCTTGAACCTCAACGCCGGAACTCAGGGAGTTATTTCTTCACCGAATTGACAAAGGAAGGCGAGGAATCTGCAGCTGCTTCAAAAATCAAGGAGGCCCACGAATCAAAGGCCACTTTTGCTATTTCGCCACTATTTTTGGTTTTTGAAGCGGCTGGAGTTCCCTGAATCAACGGCCAGCTTCGCTACTTTGCCACAGTTCGGACGACTGAGCGGCAGCACGAATCAGAAGCGTTTGAACCGAGCCATATCATTGCCATCTGGCTCTTTGCATCTAGCCAAACACTACCTGTGAATGCAGCTTTCTGAAAAGGAGATGACCAGGAATCACGTAGGGCAGAGAATAAGTCTAAACTGTCTAGTCTGCATCTAGCCAAACACTACCTATGAATGCAACTTGCAGAAAAGGAGATGACTAGAAATCACGTATGGCAGCGAAAAAGTCGACGCTGTCTAGCTCGCAAGAACAGCTAAATTGCGTTCCTTAATCGCTGGAAGCGTTAACTATCAGCTTGGACTCATGGGAAGCCGGTTCACAATAGACGAGCACGCCAAACACGAAAAGGTCCCAGCTGCCTTTACACCTTTGCAAAGGCAACCCTACTGCGACCAAACGGGTCTGCAGCCGTGCACGCCAGCAGCCCTCAACAGCGGTCACCATTTGTTTTGTTCAGGCTCAGCCGTCAGCGCCTCCCAGAGCAAGCTTCAGCCACAACCCTGCTGCGCAGGTGAAGCACGTAAAGCTCTAGTGTGACAAGAGCTGCAATTGCGGCCACCACCGCACCCGGAACCCACCACGCCAGTTCACAGACTCTGCTCAGCACCAAGCACACAAGCACTCACACAACTGCATACTTGAAAACGCTCCATTTTATAGTATTTACCTGCAAGGTCCGCGTTTTCGCAACTTTCGTGGGTTTAAACATTCTAAAGACGCCTACACTCAGTCGGCATTGTGGCTGAGAAGCCGTGGCTGCTCGGGTTGGCGGAAAGCTGCATTCGTTTGCTGCAAGAGAGATTGTACGGCGAGCCAATGTTGCGTTCTTCAGCTCACTTTGTTTCAGGATTCATTTCAAACAGAATCTTCACACTGCAGTCAGGATCCGCACACCTGTTAGTGTAGGGCACATAGACCTGGTCTCCTCTGCATTCAAATACAAAACAACAGTATCCCTATCATCAGAACTCGATACCAAAAGAAAAACAACCAAGCATAAAAGCAACACGAACAGTGCAAGCGGAAAAAAGGCGGCGAGCGTGATCGATATGAGGAAGGCGTCGTAGGACGCAAGCGCGTTGCTAAACAGAACGTGCAAAGGACATTGTTCAGACAGGAAAGCATAAATCAGGACAAGCAGGAGGTGTGCTATCACTAATTCTGAAGATAAGGTGGTGCGGTATTTACCTGCAGACTGCGCGGGCTGCGCAGGCAACGTCGTTGGCCGGCTCCGCGTGCTTTTCCTGAAGTCCCACTCGCCAGTTGTCGCGATCCATCACCAACTTGAATAAGGAGAGAACTGCAGGGACACAAGACAGCCAAATACCGCAAAACGACCAAAAATGCAGATCTGTGCGCCCTGAACAAAGAGAGAACTGCAGGGGCACAAGACAGCAAAACACCTCAAAAGGATCGGAACTGCAGATCTGTGCGTCGTGAAACGTGTGAAGAAAGCAGCAACAGCGCAGTTAACTGCCTTCCACTGCCGCATCAGCACTCTGGTCTGTGCAACATCTGTCTTTCTTTTCCTTTAGTGCGCAGGTGTTGAATCTAGTGGCCATGTTCTATCTGCTGCGCAGACCTCTGGTGCCGAATCGGATCTGCCGCCACTGGTCAGCGCCCATGGAAAGGAAGGGCTGCGGCACGACGCAGAGGACATCTCCTATTCCCTCTTCATGAATGACAAGTTTTTCAAGGGGAATTTGGAGCCTGGGGGGGTCACTTTGGGTTTGAGTCAAAGAGAAAGACAGAGAAGGAAGCGGCCGGCTGTTGGGTCGCTGCAGCAGCGGGCAAGTGCGTCTGTAGGTCTTCTCTCCCGCTTCTCCTTGCAACGACACTGGGCGAGATATGTGTGCATTCAAAGAGTCTTCTTCAGCCTCAGGGTCTTTGCAAAGTTCATGTTCCACGTCCAGCGGCAGCCAAGCGCGCAGACTTTTCCACATGGGCGGCGGCACCACCAGGCACTCCGAGCTGCAGCCGCAGACGAGCCCACAGCAGCAAACAGTTCCAGCAGCAGCAGAGAGAGCACAGCGTATTCAACTTGGCGAAAAGAGCAAATCAAGTACACACTCATGCCTCAATCCTCTGCAGCCGCCCCTGGAAGCAGCAACCACCCATTTCATGCCACCATTTGCCCATTCTACAACTCCGAATATCCTAAGAAGAGCCTCTGGAATCTTCTGTTGGAGGCTGTGTTTCTCTGCATGCGTTTCTCGTCGCGTTTCCTTGCTCTAAGCTTGCTTTTGCAGCTTTTGCAAAACCCCCTTTTGCTACTGAGACCTGCAAGTGCCCGCGCTCGCTTCGGAAAGCTGAAACAATGCATGCAGTTCTGCGGCATTTTTGTTTCACTTCTGCAGCCTTTTAAAAGTCCACACACCTCAAGTCCACAATTGCTTCCCAAGATCGCGAAAGAGGATGTCCCACTTGCTCGCCGCAGAGTTTCCAGTCGAAAGTTGTGAAATGCATCAAAGCGTCCACTCCAGCAGCCCCCGTTTGCATGCGCTGCGCCCACTCCATTTCTCCGAAAATGCTGCGGGCCTCTTGGGAAAAATAAATGAAAGAAGGCACCTCGGCGGGGGGCCCCGGCTCCGGCGGGGCCTCTGCTGCAGGCGCAGCAACAGCAGCAGCAGCAGCAGCAGCAGCAGCAGCACGCGGCGGCGGCAAGTTTATGTCCAGTCCCACGCCCTTCACCGCCGGCTCCAGAAGCAAATTCCACAACGAAGCTTCGCGGCAGCAGAGGTCCGGCCCTGAGCCGCAGCAGCGCAGACAAGCAGCAAGACCAGTGGACCACTCGGCAGCTTTTGCTGCTGCACGGAGTTAGGCAGCAAGACCACTGGACCATTTGGCAGCTTTTGCTGCTGCTGAACAAACTCCAGCGCACTGCAGCGCCGCCAGTAGCAGCAGCAAGGACGCAGCAGCTCCTGCTTCAGCCGGTGAAGCAGGTCAGCAGCAACTAATCAGCAGCAGCAGCAGCAGCACAGACACAGATAAGGAGCCCCCCGAGGGGCCCCCGGGCCCTTGAAGACACAGAGAAGCAGCAAAGTCTTGCAAAAGATTGCGGGGCACCTAAGTACCATTTAGGGCCTCCCCAGCTGCCCCAGAGCCCCGGGGGGCCCCGGAAGGGGCCCCCAGGGTGCAAGGGGCCCCCCGGGTTCACAGGGGAAGGGGGGGGGGCCCCAGCCACGAAGAACCTGCAAAAAGGACTTCAAATTAATTCAAAAAGATTTAAATCCCACCTGCAATTCCCCAAACTCCGTCAAGACCTTCATAAGCGTCGAAGTCCGTGTCTCTTTCCAACACCAACTTCACCGGAAACTTGCTGAGGCGGAGAGAGAAGAAAGAAGGGATACTCATCTCTGCAGTACCCTCTCGGGGGGCCCCTGGTGGGGGGGGGCCCCCGGGGGGCCCCCCTGGGGGGCCCCCCACGTGGGTCGGCACCAGCTCCACCGTGTCGTACCCCTCGAGGCGAACTTCAGAAACAAAAATGCCGTCGACAATTTGCTTATAGCTGCAGCCACATGCACAGCAACACAAACTCTGCTGCTGCTGCTGCTGCTGCGGCTGCTGCGGCTGCTGCTGCTGCTGCTGAAGCTAGAATGGGCAGGTGCCTGTACACCCGCCAGCGGCAGACGCGGGGGAAAAGGCAACGGGGAGCAGCAAATCCGAAGCAGCAGCGGCAGCAGAAGCAGCAAAGGCAGAAGAAGCAGCAGAAGCAGCAGTTGCAAGCGAAAAGACAGAAATGCGAAACCGTAGCTGGCGCTTCGCGGCGTCAAGTGCAGCAGCAGCAGCAACAGCAGCAGCAGCAGCAGCAGCAGCAGCAGCGAGCGCACCGAGCAGCATATTGGGGGTCGTGCTGCTTCGAAGCCCGGCAGCTAAAAGGAGACTCTGAAAAAGGGGTACAAACTTCGTGCCAGTTGAGGCACCAAGTGCTGCTGTTTGAGGCATCGGGGCTGTAGCAGTCTTGCTGCTGCTGCTGCTGCTTCGCTAGCTGCTTGCGCTGCTTCGCCTTGCCGTCCCCCTGCTGCTGCTCCTGCTGCTCCTGCTGCTGCTGCTGCGCCGCTGCACCCGCTGCCGGCTCTCCCGCAGGCGCTTCCCGCGGGCTGCCGGCGTCCTCCGCAGCAGCTTGCTGCTGCCGTTGCGCCGCAGCAAGGGGCTGCTGCTGCTGCTGCTGCTGCAGCGCGGAGCCGCGCCTGCCAGAAGTGCATGCAGAAGAACCAGAAGCAAACAGCCGCAAACCCTCCTTGCAAGAGTCCAGCCCCAGCAGCAGCTGCTGCCCCCCCACTTGGACCCCCAGGGCCACGCGGCTGCCCACAACTTTAAGGGGCACTTGGGCTGGGGTTTGGAGGGCTTTGGCGGGTCCTGCTGCTGCTGCTGCTGCTGCTGCTGCTATTGCTGCAGCTTCTGCTGCGGCCGCCGCCGCCGCCGCTGCGTCGGGCACTTCCCGCGGGGCCCCCGGCTCCCCCGGCGGAGCTGCTGCAGCTGCTGCAGCGCGCGCGGGGCCCCCGGCGATGAGGAAGCAGCAGCAGCAGCAGCAAGCAGCAAGAAAGAGCATGCACCTGGGGGCCCACTGCCTCCCAGGGGGGCCCCCGGGGCCCCTGGAGGCCCCCCGAAGCCTCATTGCTGCCAACAGGGTACAGTAAGAAAGGCCCCTGGGGGGCCCCTGTTGCCTCTAAGGCACTGAGGCCCACTCTTAGGGGGCCCCGCGAGGCTGCTGCTGCAGCTGGCAGCTGTGGCTGCTGCTGCTGCAGGTTTGGGGGGCCTCTGGCGGCTGTGTCTTGGGCTGCTGGCGCTGCTGCTGCTGCTGCTACGCCGGCCTGAAGTGTGTCTAAAGGGGCCTCGGGGGATTAAGGCAAGAAAGGAACTGCAGCAAATGGCTTTGGCACTTTTGTGAGAGTGCAAACGGCCCGCCGCGTTTGTGTCTCAGGCACTTCTTCTAGAAGTTCATAAAGCAAATCCAAACGAAATAAAAACAAATCAACAATTCAAATAAACCAAAAAAGATGCAGACATGCACAAGTCCGACAGTACCCTCGTGGGGGCCCCCAAGCTCGCCTGCTGCCACCACGGGGCCCCCCTCGGTGGCTGCCACCCCCCGTCTTTGTCCGTTTGCACTTCAGAGACAGTGTACATTTAGTTATTAGAGTTAGAGCGTAGGGTTTAGGGTTTAGGGTTTAGGGTTTAGGGTTTAAGCCAGCACGGTCTTCGGGCGTCTCTGGGAGGCGTACTGGCCCAGTCTACTGGTGCACCTCTGCAAGTCTTATTTAATCTCATTCTTCTGATGGCCTCAAAATGCACTAAAAAACGTATTTCGGGGAATTTTTCCTCAATTTTGTTTCAAAGCCCGGGTCAGCTTCGAAGATTGTGAGTTGGCGCCTGATGCGCCGCGCGAAGAAGTGCAGCCAAAAGGAACTCGGGCTGCGGTGAATGGAGATGAAAATAAACACAAAAAGATGAGAAAGAGAAATAAAGTGTCTTCAAACAGGAAATGAATTAAAAATGCCAAAGGAGGCCGCTGAAATGGCGCGAGCAAATGCTGGAAAAGCTTCTGCACACCTGCAACTTGAGGTGTACGTACACCTGATTTTCTCCTACAAAAAACTTCAGGTGTCTGTACACCTGCGCGAGATACACCCACTGGCACAGACCGGCAGATGCCGCGCAGATAAAAGGCTGCAGAAGTGCTAAAACACGAACAGTAAGTTCATCTAGTAGACAGAAGATTTAAATTTGAACTTCTGAAAAAAGAAGCAGCGGCTCTTTTGAGGTCTTGGCCATTGTTTTTTACTTTTCTGGAAACGTTTCCTTCTGCTGCTATGCGTTTAGCTGCGTGTCTGCGCCTGTGTCTTCTTTTTTGTTCCCTTTTGTTTCTTTCCCCCTGTCTTCTGTTTGTTATTTTCTTTTTCTTCTTGGTCTCCACTAAAAATATCTTTAAGGGCCCCACAGCCTTCAGGAAGTGCCCCACGCGCAGCGAGCTCAGCCACTGCGCTGTACGTACACCTGAGGCTCTGCACGAGCCGAAAGGAAACAAAATAACGAACTGAAACAGGTGGGGTTGTTGTCTTCACCTCAGCATATGTTTTTAATGACACTAAAACCCATTAAAAGTCCAAAGAGGCCAAAAGGCATAGGGGCCCCATGTGGGGTCCTTTGCAGTTGCGCCATAGCTGCTTATCCGGGGAACCCGCCGCTGGGGCCCCTCTCTTGGGGGCCCCCATAGGGGCCTCAAGGGGGCCCCTCTAGAAAGGACTTACTTGCTGTGGGGCCCCTCGGTGTGCGAAGGCTCTAATAGCAGACCCGCATGTGCATGCAATTGTTCGATTAGATGAAGAAAATAAATCAAATGTTTATAATTTGTTGTTTAATTAAAACCCTCGCCAAGAACAGAAGACAACACTAAAGCTCGAAGTGTCTGTGGCCTCAAGGGCCCCCAAAAGAGGGGCCCCAGAAGGGGGGCCCCCTGCCTTCG